TAACTTTAGAATTACCTATAGCCTCTTAACACTATTGAGCATCTCCTGAAGATAATTGTGAAATTAAAAAACAAATAGATGAAATGTTAAATGCTGGTAATAAAACTGCGTCGTACCATGCCTGCCTTATGAGATGAACAGAACACAGACAAAAATCAGATTGTGTATTAACTGACAGAAACTTGACAGAAAAACTTGACCAAATTACTAAAACATATTCTGAACCTATTCCCAGAATTTATGCTGTCTTAGATCAATGAACAAATGCAAAAACATTTTCCACATTAGACCTAGCATCTGGTTATTGGCATATAAAATTAAATGAAAAAGATACTGAAAAATTGTCATTTACTACAAATTTCGGCCTTTATGAATTCAATGGATTAACTTGCTTGGAAAAATTCCTCAGCTGTTTTCCAAACAGCTCTTAGACAAATTTTAAACAAATATCAGATTCAGTTTGCTTTAAATTATTTTGATGGTATTATTGTATTTCCCCCAAATTTTGATGAAAACTTTAAACATCTTAAACATATACCAAAAATTTATTCAAAATTATGCAAAATTAGAACTCTTTTAATAAACTTTAAAAAAATACTCCTCATAATTGGACTACTGAATGCAACTAAATGGACTACAAATTTAAAAGATGCATTAATTTCAAGACACATTCTAACTTTGTTTAATCCAAAATATCCTTGTCATGTATTTATAGATGCTCCTAAAGAAGCTGTTGATGCAAATTTAAAACAAGAACACCCAGATGGTAACCTATATCCATTGCTTTTTATACTAGAAAATTAAGGTCTTATGAGCAAAATTATGAAATTACTGAATTAGAATGTTTAGCCATTATTGGCACTATAGATAAATTTTATTATTATTTACATGGTAATAACGTTACTGTACATACTGATCACGCTACTCTAGTTTGTCTTATTAAACATCCTACAGGTAGGTTATTAAGATTGAAATGTCATTCTTTAAAATTATCTATGTATGGCTTTGATATTAAATATAAAAAAGGTTCTACTAATGCTGAAGCGAATATGTTAACTGGAAATCTCATTTGTCAGCACTTGAGTTTGCGAGTTAATTTATTAACATTAGAAGAAATTAAACATCAAATTTTGGATTATGTATGTAACCCTAAGTGTAAGAAAATTAATGAAGTATTAAACTATTAAAAAGCAAGGATTATATAAAATCTTAATACTAGTATCTCTTCCTACTAAATTACTTCAAAAAGCTCATGCAGAATTTGGGCATACGGGTGTGTCCTCAATGCTAAATTAATTTATTTCCTCAATATTATTGGTCAGGAATTGTCCAGGATGTTAGAAACTATTGTAAGCATTGTGAAGTATGTCAGTTCAATAAGAAAAATAAACAAAAAAGATTTGGGTTAATGCAAGTATTATCATCTGTTAGAGAACCTTTAGAAATATTGTCTATGATACTGATGGTGGTTTAAATTATTATAATTCTACAAAGAAATATATTCATATTATCATAGATCATGCTACTCGTTATATATGGACTTTCGCTTCTAAAAGTGTAACTTCAAGTACCAAAGAAAATTTTAAACGACAGAAATGTTGCTTCTTCAAAATTTAAGCACTTTTTAAGAAATCATAATGTAAAACAATTATTAACTACTGCTAATGGGCCTCAGTTGAATGAGTTAATCAAACAATTATAACAAGGCTAAAATGTAAATTAAACTCTTATCAGGGTAATAATGCATGGATAAAATTATTACCTCAGGTTACTGAAGAATATAATACTACTTCACAATTCTGTAACAAAATTCCCACCATCGTATTTAATTGTATGGAAAATTACCTTATGATCCTCTACTTGAAAATCAAGAAGTATATCCACCAATTGAAGCAGCTAGAAAAATTGCCCAAAAGAGGTCTGATGATTATCATAATGTAAATAAATAAAGGTATGACATCCATTATAGACACACTAATTTTAAAATAGGCGATTTAATAATGTATGAAGAATTTCAATATCCTAATACCTGTAAGCTTTCTCTTCCTTTTTCAGACCCTTATAAATTTTAAAACAATAGTCTGAAGTTACTTTTGAAATAGATAAGCCTAATCATCTAACTGAAAAGAAATCAGAAATTGTTCATTCAACCAGATTCAGACCTTTTAATCCAGCTAATGAATTTAAATTAACTATTAGAAATAGCAGAATCCCTGGTTTTGAGCAAAATTAATTTATTTTAGTTTTCTAAATTCTGCATTAAAATTTTTGTTTTCCCGATTATGACATTTTAACACCTGATCAAATCTTTACAACCTAATCATGACAATTTATTTTTTTCTGATTTTGACCTATCCCAGACTGGCTCCTTTCTTATCCTGCTTTTCCTTCTTCCCAGAGTTTTCCCGTTCAAAATGTGTTGTGTACGTTCTCCATAGTCCAGGAGATGAGGAAAGGAAAAACACTAACACCACATTTTGAAAATCTGGATTTAATACCAGATACTCATTCTAAGACGATATATTTTTTATTCTTTTTTCTGACATGAGTTTCCACGCTATGTGTATTACTCCTTGCATCCTCTCTTAGGGAGGATGCAAAACATAATAGCACATGCCCACTGTCTCCCTAGAAACGCCCCTAAAATTTTCTTGTTTTATATGTTAGGAGATTCAGCCATGGTTAAGAAACTGACTTGGGTTTTTACATTTTCACTGCTAGTCATGATCCTCTGACCATAATTTAGCACAGAAGTGCTCCCCCCCCCCACACGCACACACATACATTTTACATAATCTTAAAACAATTCTTTTCCTTTTTTTCTTCTTATTGTAGGGTAAGATTCAATTATATTTTTACAAAAATTTAAAAGACTTTAACTTGATTATATGAGTTATTTGTCTGAAATTGCAGACTTAATTTTGTACAATTTTGTATTTTTATTAATTAATATGAAAGAAGAAAAAAACTCTGATAATTATACAATGCCAAAAACCAGTTACCTTTTTCTAAGAAATGGAGGTTTTTTTTTTTTTTTTTAATGATTACTTAAGCCTCCCCCAGCTATCAGCAGGCTGGTATGCTTATATTGTGGAGAGGACATACAAAGTAATCATCAAAGTATTACAGTGTTATTTAGTATTGCATTATATTATTATGTTTTTATATTGAATTTTCTGTTGTGTATAAATATGTGTATCCATGAAAAGAAGAATTTATTGTATTAATCATAAATTGTGTATTATATTTCCACATGATAAGTTGGCAAATCTATGAAAATATTTTCATCACGAAAGTTTCAAAAACATTAGAACATTTACTTCCTGAAAACAATTAAAAATTTACCTTGTGGAAATATTTTCGTCAAGAGACCTTACAAAATTTACATTGAACATTTTAAGAACTTGAGGACTTTAAAAATTGTATTTGTGTTAATTTATTATTTAGTTTTATTTAGAAATTATATTGTTGTTGTAATAGTTGTAAATTACATGCCTAAGTATTTCATAATCTGTATATGAGAGAGGTCATGAACAATGAGGGGGTATAGAGAAAAACCTGCAGGCTATGTCCTTCATGCTTCCTCATGTCTTTCCTCATATCATAAAATTTCTCTTGCTTCGCTAATACATTAATGCTTTTTCTCCCAAAAGGCTCTTCCAACCTTTCTTTGGAAGGGGGGCTATGTAAGATATGATAAAATATGATGGCTGTGCAAAGACATGATTGGCGACCTCAAAATTAACTATTCTAGATTTTATGTTCTTCCCTTAAATTCATCTGTTCTCCAAAATTCGAGATCTTTCCATGTTACATAATAACCTAAAATTAACTAATCACAGCTTAGAAAACTTTCTGCATCTACTAGGTACAAATACCACTCATAAGTAGTAGTACAAAGTCCGTAATCCTCGTTGGGACTTCGGCGATTCCGGATTAGGGGGTTTTCCGGATCATCAATTTAAATCTGGTAAGATGGCATGCAGAAATTATACAATTAAAAATATGAAACCGTAATTTATGAAATAAAGAGCAATTATGATCTATAGGGTATCAAAATTTACAAAAAAAAAAGGCTTAATATTTATTTGTTTACTTTATTACACATTTCTTTCAATGTAAGTTGTTTAAGTTGCTTCGTTTTTTGGGCTAATACTTTCTCTTTAATTATATAAACAGACATAATTTCTTGTTCAGTTACAAAGTTCCACTGTTCAAGTCCATAGAACCATACTACAGATTTTGCTGTCTGTTAATTGATTGATGATTAGGGCATTGTCGTCGCAATGAAAAACTTCTGTTATATCATCTTCATTTATTACCGCTTCTCCCCATTTCTTTACAAAATCCAATAACTGGAAAATTTCACCTTTAGTTTGCGATGTCCGAAAACTTCAAATTCGTGGCTATCATCTTCATCATCCTCACCATGAAATATGGTAGCTGGCCATAAATTATGCCAAGTAATTTTTAACGTATCTGGAGACACATCCTCCCAACGGACATGCGCATGCATAAAGCATACAAAAAAAAGTTTGTGGCCTTGAGATCCGGATTATAGATCATTCCGCATAATGGACGTCTGAATTATAGGCATTGTACTGTATGTCATTCCTTTCTCATAGCTTCTGCCACTGCTAACATATGCAAAACCCTATGGCCACTTGCCAAAAATGACATCGTATCCTTTTTCCTGTGTATATAGAAATTATTATATTTAACTATGATTGAAAAATACCCTATCTAGAAAAATGATCTAATGTGAATTATTATGGAACAAGTTGTGTTTGGAAATGGCCACGTGTGGAAGTTACTGGGTTATGCATCCACCTATCTAATTGTAAATTTAAAACAAACTAAAGCCTTAGCATTCCATAAACAAATGCTCAAACATTGTTAAAAAAAAAAAAAAAACAGCAGTTAGATATATAAACAAGAATGTTCTAAAAAAATCTATTAAAATAAGTATAATTGGACAATAAATATAAACTGTAATATACCATTGTCAATTATTCTCTGTTTGGTAATCACGGTCAATTCTCTGTCCACTTCAAAGAATCCAACACCAGGTGTAATCACAACAGACAACTGACCAGTTCTATCAAAACTTCGATCCATGTAATGTTTTTCAAAAACTAAAAAATAGAAATATCATTCATATTTAGACAAAAATTATTCACATTATAAATAATATTGGTACTTTTTGATTATCTGCATCCCCACTAAAAATTGACCAAAAAATATTCATGAGGCAAAGTAATATGCCACTAAAATATCTGGCAACCTACCTTATCAAAAAATGTTTATGTGGCAATCCAGATATGCATGCAGTACATATCTGTTTTGGCTGATGCACAAAGCCAAACTGTACAGTTTGCACTTTTTTCTAATTTTTAATTAAAGCAAAAACAGATTGCTTTCCATATAAATATAAGAACAACAGTGCCCCCCCCAAAAAAAGAGGATTTCTAGAAAAAGAGTGTTTTATTACTGATGTTTCTTGCTTCTGATGTGATGATAATCAATTTCATGAATCGATTGTTTTTGTATTGAATTCTTTAGTACACTGTCATTTTAAAAGATGTTGCCTTTTGTACATTAGCGCGGTGAAAAATGAATTAGCAATAAGTATATGACATTTCATTAGAGGTGCAAATAATCAGAGAGTACCATAATAACTAATTACTTAATTTGAAGTTTTTACCGTTAAGAGACATATTCAGAACTTCTAAAAAATTGCCTTGGGAAGATGTGGAGTTAACAGCTTTTGGAACTTCTGAACCTGCTTTTTCATGATACTTCAGGACAGTATCTTGATACTGATTAAACAATTTTTTCAACAAAATAATTGTTGAGCTCCAATCATCATATCTCTCATTTTGAACTGCTACTCTACAAAAACCAAAACATTGAAAATTCAAATCTTTTGTTATATAAAGGTATGTATATAGTTCCATAGTAAGAAAAATGAAAAAAAAAAACTTATGAGCACACACACATAGAGATAAAAATTAAATCAAAATTAGATAATGAAAGAAGGGCAACCAACAGAAAATACTCAAATCAAAATTAAACAAAACAAAATTTAAAAAAATTTGCCCCCCTTTCATTATCTAATTTTGATTGGAAAGTTGGCCGCTGTTCATTAGTTTATTTTGATTTAATTTTTATTTCTTGGTTATTCAATTAATTTCACAGCATACTTTATGACTTTAATAATACACATCACCTTAATTTAAGATTCTCAATGTTTGTTTATGTATATATATAAACTTTAGGAAACAAAATTTTTTACTATGAAAAGTTTTCATTATCCTGGAAAGTGCATTGTAAAAAATTAAACGAAACTAAAGGACTACTATAAAAAACTAAAATGCAAAAAAAAAAAAAAAAAATTATTATGAAATCATTAGCAAACATATTCAGCAATTAAAATGCTGGAATTCAAATGCTAATATTTGAACCAATTTTGTTCCTTTCACATCAATTGTTTCACATCCTATCATATCAAACATTATTGGATTTTCATCCATATTTCCAACATGTGAGAATATTTTTTTTTTCTTTTGTAGATCAATAACATACTTTTGGAAATTGATTTGTTGTCCAAATCTTAGAGATGCCTTTGCGCAACTTTTTTCCATAGAACTAAATTATTCCATGCAATAAATTGACTATGCCAATTCAAAGCTGCTTTAAAGTTTTCACTTTCATTTGCATTCTTTTTGCCCACTTAAAGGCAAATAAACATAATGTTACAATTAATTCATTCTGTCAATTTTCAAGAACCTAGTTTGCAACACTTAATTCTAGGATGGACTATTTCATTACTCCTTTATGCAGCACACATTTATTCTTTAGCATATTAATTATTGTGATTTCATTTTAATCCCACTCACATGTGGAGTTTTCATAATACCAAATATGCTTGCTGTAGGACAATTTCTATTTTCTTTCGCAAATGACTTTGCATTAGAAACCAGATCTAGGCTTGTTTTGCTTAGCAGAGACCATATTTACTACTAAAAAGGAACACTAGAACAACTGTATTTCAAAACTACAGTAAATGCGATTTACTTCTTCATATTCGATGCCTTCGATGTTCACTTCAAAAATCACGACTTTAAATGACTACAGAAAGAGAAAGCATATCTCTCAATTCCATTTTCTCCTATTGCTGCAAATTCATTTGGGTCAGAAGTGCAGTTTCATGAAATTATATCTTCTTTTTCTTAAAACCCTAGAAAAACATTCTTGTGCACAGCTGCATTGAATGGTATACACCCTCTTTGCAGACTTATTTACTTCCTCAAGTATTTCCCCTTAAACATTGTTCCTTTTATCACTTGTCAATTCAGTATGCCATTGTTTTAAAGCCTGAAAAAAAATCTTCAAATGAAAGACTTCAAACTATAAATGTTTGAAATTATAGGTGCACATTATATACTGGAATGTATGATAAGTGACACAAGTCAATACGCATTGCACAGAAACTGTTATTTGAGAAAGAAAATTTATTTCAAAATAAGCTATTAACATTTTTTAGGATTTTGCATGAAAATTAATTTTGTTCCTCCACACAATTAACATGAAGGCCCACATACTGAGATAAAATCTAACTTTTAAGTAATTGAATTAATTCATCAGATGAGAAAGAGATTATGAGTTACATTTTGTTTTATGCAAGGCTGAGACTTTTGAATCCTCAGATCTCAGGAATCTTCAAAAGAATTTTAAATGCTGAACATTGAATCTTAGCGCTTTTTTCATCACTCGAATGTTTTGAATCCTAACTAAGAAATCGGTAAATATTTTAACCCAAAACCTTGGAATGACTAGTCTTACTGATGCCTAGTGTAGACAAATTCATTACAAATAGAATATGATTGCAATTTTAATGGCACCTGAATCATCAGTATCTTCTGAGTGCCTCCTTAAGAGGGAGCCTTATAAAATTGTTGATGTCTCCGGGGATGTATGACCATCTTCGGGTGGCTTTTGACTGGTGTTTCTGCCAGTCCTTGTGATGCCATTAAGTTGGCGAGGCAGGTACAAAAACCAGTTACCAGTTAACCATTGGTGAATTTATGTCAGTTAGAAAATGTGGCTATGCCCAGCTGATGGATATGTTTGTATTTGGAGAAAGCTGTGGGTTCTTCCAGTTTTGTGTAAAATAAGGAAATTAAAAATGTAATAATAACAACAGAAACCATGATTTCAGTAATACTATTATAAATGATGTTAAAATGCAAGTTATAATAATGAAAATAAGATATGTTACAAAATTTGAAATTTGTTGTATTTATTCAAAATAAGTACTAGGTATATAAAACTTTTATATTTGTGATCTGTGTGAAAAGTTTTGAAAAGCCTTCCCTCAACAAATATGATTATGTAGAAGCTAAAACACAAAGACTTTTGGATTCAAGCTTTAATAGGACTCTAAAATATTACCAAAGTTTACATTTTGAAATTATTTTTTAACTAATTATTTTGGTTAAAATTTTATATTTTGTATTCTTCAAATTATGTTTCTCTTCATTTGCTAATGCTGTAGTGCTTTTCTCTTAAAAAGGCTTTTCTGTTGCCAAGCCTCATCCAGATTGGAGATAGATATAAGCGAAATAAAAATTATGACAGCAAACTAGTATTACTTTTAATTTTGCAATTAACTTCTTTATTTTTTTTTTGTTTACTTTCGGCACTTTTCCTTTGCTTATATAATAATAGATGATATAGTTAATTCAGAACTAAAAATTTCCAGAATTGAAACCTTTCTCTTCGTTAAGTGTCCATATTGGCCAACTGCACACTTGCTTTCTGCTTCTCTTCTTACTCCAAAGGTATCAAAAGTGTAAATGCTCTGAAGCAGGCACAATTACAGTGTCAACGATTTGTAGCCGCTAATGTTAATTGAAATAAAAATGAGTTGCCAAGTTGCCAAGTTTGCTGTTCATCTGCCAAGTTGCATCTGCCTCAGTTGCCAAGTTTGCTGTTCATTACAAATGAGCATCTATGCAATACATATTTCTACATATAATATATTATTTAAAAACTTTTAGAGAATACTTTAGAATGATAAAGAATAAAATTAAATAAATCTGGTAACATATTAACAAACAAAAAATGGTAATTTCCAAAAAGTGTTTTTCGAATAAATATAAAATAATTTACAATAATTAAAATTGGTAGTTATTAAGTGATAAATAAGATGTTTATTATGTGGACACATATGTTAACAAAAAAAGTATATGTGGTTATCTTGACATGACAGAAAATTACATTTGTGATAACATGAACAATACAATGCAATAAGAATGTTAACTTGGGAACATCTTAATATACAAGTAAAGCACGTATTCACTGAAGGTTTCATACAGTATTAATACTGATAATAATATGCTAATTACTTTAGAATGAAGAAACTAAACTGTGGCTTTGTTAACTAATTTTTATCAAATTGCCAAAACACTGGCGAGCCAAAACATTATGACCATTCTAATATTTTTCAATGAACTCCTCTGGACGACATGGAGGGCATGTGATTAAGTGGGAATGGTATTTAACTGATGCTAAAGAAGGTCAGAAATCATTCTTGTACTTACTTGTACTTACTTGTACTTACTTTTGTGAGTGATGGAAAGAACTGCTGATCTAAGTGAATTTGATAGAGGGCACATTGTAATGGCCCAAAGATTTGGAACGAATACCTCCGAAATTGTACGACCGGTAGATTGTTCATGATCTCCCATTGGTAGTATTTATGCTCGAAGTGACAGTAAAACCAGCAGTAGATGCAAAAGATGTGTTGGATGTTCATGCATCATCAGAGAAAAAGGACAATGGAGACTGTCCCGCTTGGTACAGCAAAATCAGTGGCAGAAAGTTGCTCAGCTGATAGCCCAATACAATGCAGGTCCAAGTGCAAGTAATTCAGAACACACAGTTTATCGGACACTGTTGGATATGGGACTGCACAGCAGATGTCCCACTTGGGTGCCTCTGTTGACCTAGCCTCATTGTCAACTATGCCTACAGTAGGCCCATGAACATCGAGACAAGACCATGGATAAGTGTAATAAAAATTATGAAAGCACTGGCTGGTGGTGGTGATATTATGCTTTGCGGGACGTTCTCATGAGCAGTTCTTGAACCCTTAGTTGTGGTATAACAGAGAATGAAAGCTGCAAATTATCAAATCTTAATTGCAGATCAGTTACACCCTCACACGGTGTCTATCTACATAACTGGAAATGGAATCTTCCAGCGCCCCGTGTCACAAGGCTTGAACTGTGTTCGAGGAGCATAAGAATGAATTTTAATTAATGTCTCAGCCACCTAACTTGCGGGATCTTGTGGCATCCATGCCAAAGCAAGTTGCAGCTGTTTTGCAGGTGAAAGGTCATCCAACGCATTAGTGAGAAGGTGGTCATAATGTTTCGGCTCTTTAGTGTAATGTTACTTTATAATTACTTTTTGTGTGCATTTGCCGTGAATGCTTGGCTTTTTAAGATTTTCTTTCTATTCTCATCTTGTATACAGTACTATAACGTTTTCTTCGGTATAGCCAATTATTCAACAAAGAATTTTGCTCTCTGCCAAACAGCATATCAACTACAGTAATACCTGTAAAAATCTTCAAAAAATCTTCCTTTATAATCTTGTTGCAAGCATTCACGCATGTACTGAGGGAATTCATCTATGCTCTGAGCTTCATAAAATGTTCTTGAAAACAAAACTATTGTAACATCATGGTTGCAGTTCAATTTCTAAATATAAAATAATAAACATTGATATCATTAGCTGTAAAAAACAGTAACATATTTTCATCACCTTTAACTACTGTTAAACTTCAAATTTAGTAAATAAAAATTCTGAAACTCAAAGAGGCAGCATTAAATTAAAAAAAAAAAAAAAAAAAACTTGAAATAATGAGATTTTATCTCTAATTATTTAAATAATCAAACAAATTGATCAGAATAACAGTGGTGGTGAAGATGAAACAGAATTTGATCATGTGCCTGAACGTATATTCGAAAACAAATATGAAGCTTTTCATGTTATCCAATAATAACAATTTTTAAATTCATAAGGTATGTCATATCTTTTAAATAACATAGCATTTAGTTACATATAAATCATCTTTGTCTGCTCAACTTTTCCTTATTTTAAAATCCATCACTTTTATATCTGGCATATGCAGCATTGGTATTCAAACAGGAGAATGAAATTCCCTGACTTTTCCAGGTGTAGTTCATGAAAATTCCAGGCTATCCGCATAGTGTGGGTTGGCTGTGCTGAAGACTAATTAATTATGGTACCACTTGAAAACACAAAAATTTGCCAGTTACATATGACTTCATTTAATCCCCCAACAGGAATTGTTTCCTCCTCTAAGGATTGAGATTAGAATCTACCCAATCGGGATTTAAAAATGTCTTTACTTCAGATATTTTGCAGCTAAAGGAAGAAAGAAATTTATTTACTGTATTTGACGGCATATTAAACGCACTTTTTTTCCTAAATTTGGTCTCAAAAAAGTTACCTGCATCTTATACGTGAAGGACGCAGTCTTTTACGTGAAGGTAATTGCATTCAATAATTGTTTATTTGGCTTTTATGAAATGTGAGAACTAAAAGAAACCACACTATTGAAACTTTTTTTCCTTGTGTGTGGCTGTCTAAATAACGGTGCGTCTTATATGCCGTCAAATACAGTAATTATATTTTTAAATAAATTCAAGTATTTTATATTTATATAGCAGCATACATAAGTAAAAAAATATGTGCACTATATATTGTGATGGTATGTCATATTACTGCTAGAATTCGTTTCACAAGTATAAGAGAAAGTTGCCTGAAATATGAAAGTATTACTAGTTAATAATATATAAATTTAGAAGAAAGAGGTCACATTAAATGGTATGAATAACATTAATATGAAATAGAATAACATTAATAGAAATTTGATCTTGTGCCTGAACATATATTGGAAAACAAATAGGAAGCTGTTCATGTTATCCAATAATGACAATTTTTAAATTCATAAGGTATGTCATATCTTTTAAATAACATAACATTTAGTTACATATAGATCCTCTTTGTCTGCCCAACTTTTCCTTATTTTAAAATCCATCACTTTTATATCTGGCATATGCAGGGTTGCCACTCAAACAGGAGAATGAAATTCCCTGACTTTTCCAGGTGTAGTTCAAGAAAATTCCAGGCTATCCGCATAGTGCGGGTTGGCTGTGCTGAGGACTAGTTAATTATGGTACCACTTGAAAACACAAAAATTTGCCAGTTACATGTGATTTTATATAATCCTCAGCATTATTACTTAAGAATTAAAAACTGAATTACAAAAATCAACGGTATTTCGGGGAATATATATAGTAAATGGTTAGCCTAGATGACTGATTATTATTACTATTTTACTGCAAAATGACCAATAAGGTATTTAAGAAAGAAGAAAAAGGTTTAAAAGATTTTGTTTTATAGGAGAATAGGAGGGAGGAATTTACTTTCATTCAATATGCACTGCACATGTGAATCTCTGGATTTTCAAGATTACTGAAAACTTGCTTTGTCTTTCTAAAAGACAATCTGATTGGCTCTGCAAAAACTGGTTCCTCGCCAGCTGTCCGAATGATGCTCACGTGACACACGATTCCCCAAGAAAGAGATTGTTTCCGACATTGGTACGAAAATTGCTTTTTGGAAGATCGCAGTATGAAATTCCCTGACTTTTCCAGATTTTGACTAAATTCCCTGATTTTTCCCTGACATTTTTGGACAATTTTCGAATTCCTTGACTTTTCTCAGTTTTTCAGGTTTTCCAGGTAGTGTGGGAACCCTGCATATAACACAAACATAAATTTCAATCTTATTTTTTGTATTAAAAATGAGCATTATACGCCTAAATATATGATGTATTTTTCTTAAAAACTGTACTATTCTATTAAATAGATAAACTTCTATTAAATGTATTTGATAGCACAGATAATGATCTACTTTGAAATAAACTAGATAACACTTTCACTTAAAATTAATTAGGTAAGAATTCTGAAAAACAAGATGAAGGTCCATTAGTGATGGTTTTATTCTTAATTATATTTTGTTTAATAATAATAAAAATATGAATAACATTATTGTTAAATATTTTATTAGTAAGCAAGAAAAAAATTGATGAAGACCCCCCCCCCAGAGATACATGGACTATTCATATAAATAATTTTTTCTGATGAAGGCTTAAAAAATTGGTATGTGCTAGTTATTTGAGGATGGAAATTGTTTTTTAAATTTATACATATTAGATCTAGCTACTATACACCACTGACATTAGTTATGATAGAAATTTTGTTTAAGATTCCAACACATTTCATACTTACACAGGGTACGTACACATTTCTGCACACGGAAATTAAGTACTTTTAAGGACCATTAATGAAAAAATTAAGGACCTACATATGAGCAAATGGGAACTGAATAAATTCAATTAAAAATATTATTCTATGGCTGATTTTCCTTTTTGTAATACCATTCTAAAAATAAAATAGATCCTTGAGTAGTATGCATTATTACTAAACATGAATTAATTAACATAATTATTAATAAGTTTGAGAATAAAATAAACTGTATGAAATTTATCAAGTAGCATTAACTATTTTACACTTATAATAGTTGGACATATTTGAAAGAGGATAAGTGACATTTACGTTTTACTAATAGTTAGCTTTATGTCGATTTTTTTTTTTTTTTATATCTCATTCTGTCACATACTTAGTCAGTCTAGAGGTTTAGTAAATAGCAGGTAGATTTTATGTCAAAAGGCATAGGTTAAAATGAGAAGTAAGATCATAATAAGCATGACTCATAACAAAAGACCGAAGGTTGTCTAGAGAGAGACCTGCTCATTAGAATAAACCTGAAAGGCCTGATGTAGACACAGTTGGGAAGTGTTTAAAGTTAGTCAGGCTCTGCTTGATGCAGTTAGTGTCATAGCTTTGTGCAGAGTTATAAGGGGTAGTAGCCCAGTTAATATACTTTAATGTTCCAATAAGCAATTAAAATACCAGAGATGATAGGTTGTTTTGTATTATTTTTAAGTTTCACTAGATACAAAGAATAAGTTTTACTTGAATTTATACATTTTTGTGTTTTACCTTGTGACCAACAGTGAGTGTTAATGAAAGGCAATAACTTGCTTTAATAATGTAGACATAATTTTTAAGGATAAGCAGTTAGTTATAAATAATTAAATTAGGTAATTAGATAACCTTAGTCATAATGGATTTACATGCCACTACTAAATTTTATTTTTTAACAATATTTGTTAAAAAAGCCTATTAAAATCAAAAGCTAGTAAATTTTCACAGTTTAAAATATATATAATTTATGACATTGGTTCTTAAACTATATTAAGATAAACATTAAAGCTACAAAACATTTATGTTTTGTAACAACAACACTCAACAAAATATTTATGCTTCATTTTAATTTGAAGCCTTCCCAAACATTTTGGCTAATTTATATTGATTTCCTTCTCTTTAAGCATCTTTTCCAACAATTAGAGATTTGTCTCAATATGCAAACCAACGCTCTTGCTAGTTTCTGTGTGCTTATCTTCTAACTTGTCAACCTCTACACAATGTACCTATGAGGGTTTACTTGATCTGGTAATAGTCCTAAACCCTCGACTGAATCATAAACTGAAAGGCTGAAATCATAAACAACAGGTAAGTTACATAATAACAACTGCACAGATCTTTGAAGAGTAATTTTCTTTATCAATTTCTTTCTTCAAGAAAAAAGAAGAGAGAAACTACTCAGTTTCTTTCTTCAAAATGTTTCCTTTTCATTTTAGAATTTTTGAATCTAACTAAGAATTTCTGTTATTCTAAAAAATACTAAATGCATTTAGAATGTATAGAAGAAGTAGCTAATTTTATTCCTTTAGTAATATAACATTCAGAAGAAATATGAAGTATATATGGTAAGGCCCGGTTACAAAGCTGATGTGGCAGAATTTTTAGAACTTAGTGACACACCGAACAACAAAATCTAGAAATAGCAAAATTTTTAGAATTTAGAGCAGGCATTGGAAACAGAATTTAGAAAGGCACTAGGCAGCAGAATTTAGGATCCACAGAGACTGCATCAGGTAGGAAATGCCTAGTGCCAGCTATGTGTTGATGCATTAAGACATATTAGATGAATCTTTTAAATTATAAATTTTCAATTTCTTTATTAATAAAAAAATCCCTTTCTATAATGTCTGGCCATGTGATAAGATTAAAAGCAGTTTTGATATTTTCCATACTTGTGTCTAGTGAGAATTAGAGAAAATAAAAGGAAGATAAACATGTTAGGAAAAGATTCTAGTATCAGAAGTAACAAATTCAAATATTTATGTTTTCATTGTTCTTCCAGACGTTCTCCAAAAGGTAAGAAATTCATTGCACACTTTCTGTAAAATACATCCATTACATGTTGATACCATGGAGACATTTTTCATTTTGTCACATAATTCTCGAATCTTCTAGAATCATGGGTCTATAAATCTTGTCTTCAAATCCTTCTAAACTTTCCAAGCTGCAATGTCTAAAATACTAAAGAAAAATTATCCCTACAAATTCTGCAACAGCAAAAAAACAGAAATATTTTGAAAAAAAAAAAAAGGAGGGTAAAAGTGTAGAATTAATTTTATAGAGAAAATTGATGCATATTCTGAGAATTTTGCATATTCTGAAACGGAGAAAACGCTTACTATGAAAAAATTAAAAAGACTTTTTAATTAATTACACAGCTAATTTTGCTCTTGTTAAGAGCTGTTTCGTAAATTACGCTTTATAGCATTACGCCTTATTTTTCAGATTCATAATAAAGTATAAGAAGTTGCCAAAATGAAACTTTATAATATGACAGCAAAAAATAGAGATGTTTCATTTTAATGTTATTTTTTAAATATAATTTCAATACATTACCATTATTTTAATGAAATTTATCAATGTTGTGATGTTTTAAAAATGATCGTCTAAAAATTCTCAGATCTCGGAATTAAAAATTTTTTATAGAAACCGATCTTAAAATCGCCAAAATGTTGACAAGTCGCCAAATTTAGAACCGTCTAATAAAAGAATTCACATCCCCAAAAGTAAAAAGTTGTTTAAGATTTCTGTATTAGAAAAAATGAATTTCAAAATGCTTATGTTTCACTTCTTGCTTAGAAACTCGAGTATTCCATCATTTTTATTAGAAATAGAAACAAATTATAACCCATTCAAAAGATAACCATATGTGTCAGTGAATCGCCAAAAATATTCCTCGAAAATGCTAATTAACACTCAAAATCGCAGTCATAAAAACAGACAGAAATTTCAGATGATTAAAATTAAGGACCTTCTGCTGATTTTGGCCAATATTAAGGACTTTTAAGGACCAAAAATTGATTCCAAAAAATTTAGGGACTCTTAAGGACCATACAAACTCTGACTTATATGCTGAAAACTGCATTAATGTAACATCTCAAACATTTAAATGAATGTAACATCAATGTTAATGTAACATCTCAAACATTTAAATGAATGTAACATCAATGTTAACGTAACATCTCAAACATTTAAATGAAACAAAAAAGCAAATCTTGTAAGATAAAAATTTTTTTGTCTATATGTAACAAACTTAATCCCCCCAGTCTAAGACTGAGATATACATAATGTCACAGTAAAGTATAAATTTCTGTCACAGTAAAATATTTCACTCACAGAGATAATTTACTTTCAATGAACTGTTATTAAAAGCAAAATCTCTCTTTCCCCCCCCATAAACAGTGAATAGTGCTCTGATATATTTATAAATGAAAAGAAAATAATCACCTTCCACTTAGAAAATAGATCAGGTAAAAAACCATCAATGGCCTTTTCAAAATATAGGTCTCCATTGATGTCAAAATCCCACATTTCACAACTCATTTGAATAAACAGGTACACCATACTACTAGCAGATCGAAAAACAACTTTAGTATCATCTGTAACGATTCCAGAAGCAACTCTTTCACCCTGTATGTACATCTCAAAAACTTGACATCTATAAGGAAAAGATATTAATAGAGATACAAAAATACACTTTTAATTCAACAAAAATCATGTTATATGCATGAAAAACAACTTTAGATTATGCAGTACATTTACATTAATGTATACAAGATGTTGTAAAAGACGATTTGGCCTTGCTGTCCTAAATATTGATTTCATAAATGTATGTCCAATTACAAGCCACCTAACTGGTATAGCAGTTAGTGTCACTAACTGCCGAAAAATTTAAAAAGCTGCTCATTAAGTTAGTTGTATAGAACATGACAATCCTTGATCACTCCACTTGCATCATAAATTTTAATGAAAACACTTTTTAATGCAATTTTATTTAATAATACAATATTGTTACTTTCTGAATACTTTATCATTGTAGTTTTGATTTTCTATAATCTTGTAATATTTTTATACAATTATTATTGCTTTCTATTTTATTTTTTTAATGGTAATTTTATGGTTTATTTTGTGTTTAATCTAATTTATGCCCATGTCTGGCATTTAAGTGTTTATTTGTTGTACATAATTGTAGATCTTTTAATTACGATTACAATAGCTATGAGATTATAAAAATAGTTCAATTAGAAAGTGAGATATGTGTAATTTCATTCTTAAAGGGCTTTAACGACAATTTTTGTCAGCGAGTTGGCGACATTTGTCAATTTCTCAGCAACTTTTCAGCAATTTTTTGGAAGATTTTAGAAAACACATTTTCAAAGCCCTATCCCACCTTTTCGAACCCTTCCAGAAGTTTTCAGAGCCCATGTTGCTGGGTAAATACACATCAAAGAGCTAGGTAGTTCACTTGCATATCAGCTGTGAGACTTAGTAGTTAACTGAAGTACGAGTCAGGGTTTACCCTGAAAGTGATTTAACCCTTTCATGGGCCGTGGGAAGATTACTTCCCACCTACATGATCCTGGGATTACACCTGTGGGAAGCGCAAAACCCACTATAATATATTGGCTTTGGTATTATAACGTTGAGAACTCTATTTCCCACTTCAGTATTGTGCTGCCATCTGTGTTTAATCGATTGAAAACAGAATTACCACATGTGTTTTGAAAGTTGGAACGCGCTGTACGAGATCTGTTCCACTGAGGCACACCTGTTTTGATTTGACATTTGCACTGTTATACGATTCTGCTACAAATGTAAGTAAAACACTGTTTTTATTATAATAACATTTTCTTATTTTGGGTATTTCTGCAAGAACTATCTAATATTGAATAATAAATAATGAGTGAAAAGTGAAAATGCTATTGCATTGTGTATAAAAGCCCCGTGCAATAGGTATGTTGGAAAAATTAGAATATTTTTGAAAATACATTTGAAAATAACATTCAATTCTACTGAGAAAGAAAAGGATTATTTTGGCATGATTTTTACCGAGGAAATTTTACGGAATATTGTTGACGAAACTCATATGCAAAGCAGCCTAAGAAAAGGAAGAGATTGGATCATACCACAAAAGACATTATCCTCAACTGGAAAGAAATCACATCAGAAGATTGAAAGCATGGGTAGGTATGCATATACTCATGGGTATTCATCAATTGCCTGAACTGAAAAACTACTGGAGCACAGACCCTATTCTCAGTGTTCAGTCAGTAGCAAGAATAATAATCGCAAAAGGTGGTATACTTCCCACCCCTAGAATTTAAATGTAAACAAAAAAATTTGGCAAAATAAAATATATTTCCTTAAATGCTATTGTTTAGTTGATAATGAAACATAAAAAATGAGAGAAATTCGAAAGAGAAATAAATGGCCCACGAAAGGGTTAAGGAATATTACGATTTATTTCATGTGTTAAGAAGGTACTGCTAAATACCTGTATTCTTCTTGAGTTATTTTCAACTATTATTGTGCTATGTGTGCTACTCATTGAGCTTATTTTCCTAATAAATTATTTCTTCCTGCTTCTCTGGACTTATTATTTAAAGAAACATCAACAACCACATAGCTTGCAACACCTAGTGTCAGAATTAAGGGTTTCTTTGAATGCCAATAACCAGGAGGATGGATTAAGCTAAAAATTAGTAACAAAACAACAGCAGCTAGCAGGGAAAGAGCCATCAAAATGTAAAAGGAAGCAGCAGTAAATGAGGCTGAGATAAGGAAGGAAATGAGATGAGAAATGAAAATCTCCATCGACTGAAATGCTGCTAAGATGAGAAAAGAAACTGCAGAAATGAAGGAGAGTATTATCACCATTGAAGAGAAAGTCACCAGTGCTATGAATAAGAAAGCAGCCACTGTAAAAGAAAAAATAGAAATAGAGAATGTTACTTAATGGATCTCTGCTGAACAAGAGACTAGAAAAAGAAATTCTAAGACTAGAACAGAAATTTACAGAGTTTTATCCATAAACAAAGTGCCAGCTCAACTGCTTTGAATAACATTCAGATATCTCGTCCCACAATTTAGTTCTGTCAATCAGAAACAGAGTTAACCTCAATTAACAGATTTAATTAAAAGTACGGAATTAAATGCTACATAGATTAAAGTTGCAAATCGTTTAACAGAATTTAAAGATGTCTCTTCAACCATGCCTAGTGACGTTGGTTACACAAATGTGACACAATATCAGACAGACACTGAAAACCCTTCACTTGTCAAGCAACATCCTTGGTGTCTATTTGCAAAACAAGAGCTGAAACAAGGGAAACATCTGAAGGAGATGCAGGGCAATGACATTATTGACCCATCATGTAGTTCTTGAGCATCACCAATCATCTTAATTCGAAAGCCAGATTAGTCAACAGAAAATTGAGATTTCTACAGATGTCTAAATGACATTACAAAGAAAGACAGCTACACATTGCCTCAACTCAATGACACCTTAAACAAGTTAGCAGGAAACAGAAGATCATAAGCAGACTGTATTTACTACAGGTCAAGAACTCTGGCAATTTAAAATAACATTTTTAGGACTGTGCGGTGCCCCAGAGACATTTGAATGTTTAATGAAGGCAGTTCTGAAAGGACTGTCATACAAATACATATAAAGCATGCCTTATACATCTCAAAAACATTATTATTGTTGGATACACTTTTTAAGATAACTTGGAAAAGTGTGTAAAAAGTACTATATAAGCTTATAGAAACTAATTTGAAGCTCAGTCCCATGAAAGTTAAATTATGTCATCATGCAGATAACTATCTTATTCATATTATTTCTGCGCACAGATCCTGAGAAAGCCGTTCGTGACTGATGTTGTCTTCTTAATTTATCAATTTCTCAGTATCTGCACTTATTACCAAAGATTTGTCAAAGGTTTCTCTCAAATCACAAGCCTTTTACACCACCTAAAACAAAGCAGAAGTTTTTCATGAGCTAATGAGTGTGAAGAAGCATTTAAAACCCTGAAGGATGTTTTGATTCCTCTGCTGTGTTGACTCATCCCCAACCAGAATATGAATTGAACTGAGAAAGACCCAAATGAAAGATTCTGAAATGAGGCTGTAAGGTATATTTTAATAACAGTTCTCTTAAGTTAATGCTTCTTTCCTATCGTACCTAGCTTCAACTTACAAATCCCTACCAGAATAAGTTTTTAGAATCGTGTCAAATGCAAATGAGAAGGAGAACAGTATTTAAATCAAGTTCAACTGACTTCAACAGAGAGAGAGAATAAGGATATGTACTTGATTAAAATTGATTTTCAATAAAGAAAATTTTCATTTAAAAATGTACCAAAAAAGCGCAGAGACTTTTTATATGACCCAACAGTTCTTACGAATATTCATTTCTTATGTTTGAATTGGACTAATTTAAATAATAAAAATGCATTTAATTTATGATCCATATACAGGGGTGTTTGTGGGACCCCCAAAAAAAACCCTGAAACTTTTACAGACTTACTAACCGACATTTTGGAGTTTCGAGAAGGGGGGGGGAGAGAAATGAAAAATTACAATTATGAAGTATTGAATGACCTAATTATAAAAGTTCAATGAATTACTTTTTTTGCAAAATTAATAACCATAAATTTTCAAACATATAAACTAATACATTTTATGTAAATATTTTAAATTACCTGAATTAATTCTTTAAAAAAAAATTATCTAATTTCTGCTGCTTTTTTTTTATTTTCTGATGTTTGTGGGCTTGTCTTTCTTTTGTGGTGAACTTCATAATTGCAGGAAGGTTGACTTTTATTTTCCTCATTTACAGTTGAAGAAATTTTCCTCGAGAACTGCACATGCAGAGGTAGAAGCAGTTTGCTTTTCTGCTAATGTAGAAGGTTTTTCAGAGACTTTTATAGGTGACTCATCTGAAATACATGTTTTTAAGTCCTCTTGATATGTTTTCCAACTTCAGTTCATATTCAGTAAGAGATCTTTGTGAATTGGATCAGTCATTGGATTTTTTGAGCCATATTTTTCACATGAGGTTTCTTTAAAAGCCATTAAATCATATTTAATAGTCTGCACTGCATCTAGGGAATCAATCTTAAGAGAGGTTCTATAGTCAGTGACAAGTGTATCTATTAAGTTGAATGCACTTTCCACTAATGGGCCATGGAAGCAGCTAAGGCAGGCTTTGACCAATTTAGCCATTGTAGGATACTTATAATCATTTGTGAAATCATCTTTTAAATTAAAAACTTTAGACCAATATTTATCAATTGTACACTTTACTTGATTTCCACTTTCATCAGATGTGTAGAGCATTTCTTTGGTGATATGATTATCACTCTGGTATAACCTTATTTCAGCTTTTACTTTTGACTTTTCATTATCACTAAAAATATGGGACATAAAAGATGATAATTTTTCAAAAGCTAATATTGTACTGGTTTTACCTCTTAGCTCTGGATCTAATGCTGTAAAACTAATTAGATATGAATTTTTAAGGGGTAATTTCTGTTTCATATGCTGTGCTGTATTAGTCTAAGCTTTCATCAGAGAAATTTGGAATTCTTTTGCTATTGGATGATTTTTTGATAATTTCTTCAGGAGAGTAGAAGCTTCTGCACCAGTAAATTGGGA